AGTACCACTACAGTCTTCAAAACAGCAAGTGTATCAACAAGAACCTCTTTTGAACAAGAATGATTGAGACAAGAAAGTTGGCTATTCAACAATGGATGTGGCTGGCAACACCAGCAACAGTAAGAACTATGACCAGAAAACCTCTGGAGTCGTGGTGTTGTCCAAGTTTGTTTAGTAATATTTCTTGAAAGTACTCCTAGAAGTAATTTTTATTATTGTTGATAGCACCAGTACTGCTACTAGCAGGCATGTATTGTGTTTTCTAGATGTAAGGTAGTAATACTACTGGTAGTAGCAATGTCAGAAGCCTCCCATTCGTCAAAAAAATCAGGACCATCATGTTTCAGAATAATCATTCAACAGTAGTGATTCTGGAAAGGTATTTTGAGAATATTACTGCTGGTTATATGAGAAGAGTCTATTTGGAGCTGTGAATCTCAACTTTGGATGCTGCAAGAAGAAGAAGAAGAAGAAGAAGAAGAACAACAACAACAGCAACCACAACAACAAGAACAACAAGAAGGAATTGCATCACCAGATACTGGTAGTTACTGTGATTGTGTTTGTGATTGTTTTGTTTGAAATACTTGACAAAATTGTATATTCAGAATCCTCATAAAAGACTGGTGTAGACAGTGTCTTCAAAAATTATATTACTACTATTTTTGATAAAGTTATGACTACTTAAAAGTTGGATAGTTTTACTAGTATTATGCACTAAAATTAGAATTTAAAAATTTGGGACCGAGGATGGAATACAGTATGATTTTTCAAATTGATGCGCACCCCTACCCTCCTACCGGTATGACCCCTGACTTCGTACGTACTTCTACTTCGTACCCGTACGCCATCGATTTTTTTATCATATGTTAGCAATATCAGAAACATAGGTTATGCTCATCGTGAATTGACAAGTGGAACCCCAAAACTTCGTTTTTCTTCAACAAAACCGTATTCAGTTTCGAACWCTGATTGACGACGATAGTACACTATTGAATCATCTAGTGGCATCATCGACGCTCTTCGTACGGATACCAGCTTCATCTCTGTTTCCTTTTACGAAGTCCRACTCTATAAATAAATTTTAAGAAGMAAGAAAATGAAGACTTATTTCAGCGCTGCTCTACTGTGTTCGCAGGCACTTGGTGCCTGGGCATTCATGACACCCACGCAATCCTGTAGCAAGAGTGGCGTATCGAATACCCAGCGCTTCATGTTCGGAGGTGCTGGCGCTGGGTCCCCTACCGAGGACGATACGGAATATGACCCTGAGGCCGAGAAGGKAATTGCAAATGCCGCTGCAGCAATGGGTATGTCGGCCGAAGAATACAAACTTGCTATGCGCGCACGAGAACAATTGGTTAAGTCAATGGATGCAAAGATGGTCAAGGGAGGAAACGCCGATACTGTTTTGGTGGAGCGAGATGTCAACAACCCACCCAAGCAACTAGATATTACAATTACCGAAGCTGGAAAGGAACTCGGAAGAGATGCTCTCTCCAAGAARTTGGTGGATGCCATCAACAAAGGATCTGAAGAAGCCAGAAAGGGCCGACAAGAATGCCAACAAGAAATGTTGAAATGGGTCCAAAGCCAGGGTTAGAACATCTTACATCTCTTTTCTTAGAACAGAAGGAAAATAATTGCAACCGTTCATCATTYAATCCTGCCGCTAGATTTTCGACTTCAGTGTCGAGACTGAGCTTCAAATTTTGGGTGCAAGCCTTGAATCAGGTATGATCGTTAAAATTATAGTAGTATTCAAGATTTGAAATCACGTAGTAGATAACGTAAATAGGCGATAACCTTACYGTAGWTACATGYATTAGAGCGCGGCCACTGGTAGAGCAGATGCTTCCATATGAATCKCTGTCWTTGACTTTTTGGATGAACATAGATTCAAGATGTCGGGAGAATAATCAATTTCCTCAAGGATTGTGCTACTCCAACGAACAGTATTGATTAGATGAGAACAGAAATGAAATTGGAATAGCAATCTTTATGTTACAAGAAATAATGATACCGGAAATGTATCGGATGCGCGCGTAMTAGTTCCTTGAGTGACAAGWTGGATAAAATCGTCTAAGCGGACTACTTCTCATTGCCTAACCAAATAGGTACGAGATCACGATGTATCCGAGAATCATTCCGTAAAAGCCAAAATTCGATGATTTGTTTTCTGTTTTGAGGGATTGCACCGCTTGGGCGACATTCGCATTCGAATATTGCAATCGCTCTTGCAGCTCCTTAATCTTTCCCGTTGGAGTAGCTTTGCTTGCAACATCAGCACCGTCCGCGGTGACGGGGATGTTTCCCGTCGAGGGTCCTGCCAAACGATGGCCTCCACCACCTCCGTGGGCTTGGATATTTTGTACGCCAATCTGGACATCCCTCAACACAAGCAAAATATCTTTGTTTTGCTCCTGGAGAGCCAACAGAAATTGTCGCAATTGCGCATCTACATCGACAAACAAATAGGAGCCCAACGAGCGGCATCCATTCATAAACGCAGGGAAAAGGGAATGCATGGTTTTCACCAAATCGTATTCGGTGAGGGTCGGAAAGAGCCATGTTGGAAGGGGGTTGGTTTGCGACGTCATCACAACAACTTCGACCACCAACATGACAATCATTCCCGTGAAAACCCAATCTCGTGCCTGCCCACTTTTTTTGCCCATGGTCAGCAGGAATGTCATGACTGCCCAGGACACGTAAAAAATTGCAACCTCGATAAGAAATTGTGTTTCGCTGTATCGTTTGTTGTTTGCTACACCTTCCTTGCCAAATTTGTTGTACACATCCCGTAATTCCAAGTCCATGATAACATCATAGGCTTGTTTGACTCTGTCGAATTCATCCGCAGCGTTGGGGGATTTGTTCTTATCTGGGTGCAACTTCAAGCTAAGCTTCTTGTACGATCGTTTGATTTCGAGGGGATTTGATTCACGGGTAACGTCCAAAATTTGATAGTAATTAGGACCTTGCTGCTGCATTTCCAAGCCTATGTTGTATCCATTATTCAAAATACATCGATCATCAAAGTTGACAATTGACAARATTTTGAAAGAAAAAACGAGTGAGACGGAGGGACGTTTTCAGTACAAAACATACGAAAAATGCCACGTGGAATGTTGGTGGGAAAAATTGATCCAATACTTGTGCAGCCATGCTGCGTGTCTTGCGTTCAATCAATGAAGACAACAAGATGTTGCAAATAGGATGATCGCAGGGGAAGAGATAGTACAGCAGGGCATCACGATTGCCGTCCCCTAYTCAACTTGCTAAAAGAACCAAAAGGCCGAGAATCGCTTTAACACTTCGTTCTTCTTTTTAAAACTCGAATCCGGATTGTTGTCGGGTGTTGGATCCAAARTCCTATCAAACCATTTTCTCATTGATTCTAGCCGCTGGACCATGAAGCTAACTCACCCGTTTTGATGGCTGCCAATGCTGCTAGAAATGCGATTGCGTACATTATGCTCTTTTTCCGTTCGAAACGGCCAGGTTTTAAGATCCATGCTGTGATAGGATGGACTATGAACATGTAGAAGAAAAATCCTCCAAGACCCGAAAAGTCGTCGCCTCCTGCTGATGCATCCTCCGACATGATTGCTCTCTTTATTACTTTTTGGATACGTAAAGTGGTCTACTCTTTTCCAATTATAACTTTCCTCGGCTCCAGCGACGTCCAGATTTCCAAATGCTCTTTGTGGTTGCAGAGGAGATTCTGCTTCTGAGTCGAAAAGTACGAGTACGAGTACGAGTAATCCGTCGATGGATCAAAATTGATGCTGTGCATTTGAGAGACCATCAGTCAATCGCAGTAGGAACTGGGAAAAACTTCCACGTTGTTTAAAAAAACATTTCCATTTATCCGCGCGGTGTGCGCATGCAATAAAAATTCTACCGCATCCACCCATGCGATAATACTGTACCCATCACCAAAACGTTCTGTAGTAAACTGATGTCATCCATCACAAATCCGTACTGCCGTGAAATGAATACGGTAATTTTTTACTACAAATAGCAGAGGGACGTAGGAACGAAATAAAAATAATAATTGTTGTGCTCCGATACAAGTATTTTTCTTTTCATAAGGTAGAATTTAGTGTCTGATCTCATTTGAAGTATCGTTCCGAGAAGGGGTACATGAGTYGCGGTGGACATCGCAAGATCAGATTATATCAAGAAGAATTGGTTCTTCAGTAGATGCATAAAACTTTTTGGAATAGCATGACTACTACTACTTTCCTCGCAAGGATGTTGTTGTTTTGCGCAGCGACGTCGTGGAATGGGAGCAGACATCGCTTCGTCAATGCATTTGTTGGCTCGTCTCTCCTTCGACACCACACRGCCAAATCGACTCGGCCGTTGCCATCAATGCTACCTTCCGGTCATCAATCGAGTCAGTTTCAACGTTCGGCATTGCAAAGAACTCCAGTTCCAGGGAACAACTGGCGTCTGCTCTCGACAGTATCGGGAGAAATTGAAGAAAAAATAAAGATCAAGGGGGACGAGATTCGACAATTGAAGGCCGACGGCATCGACAAAGAAACCCTAGCACCACACATTAAGGAATTGCTTGCACTTAAGGCGCAACTCGAAGACGACAACAAATCATCGCTCGAGGAACTGAACAAGAAAATTGCGGAAAAGGGAGATCAGATCCGTCAACTAAAGGCCGATGGAGTGGATAAGGAAACCCTGGCACCGCACATTGAGGAACTYSTCTCTCTCAAGGCAAAGCTCCCTACAGATGARTCAGCGGAGAAAAAGCCTGCTCAGAAAAAGAAAGGGGGAAAGCAAAAACAAAAGCAGAACCAGAACAACAATAAGAAAAAGGCAGACGAGCCTCTCTCCGAATCCGAAATTAAATTGAACCGTCTGGCAAAGGTTGACGCCATGCGAGAAGCAAACGTGGAGCCTTTTGAATACACATATGACGTCACCACCTCAGCTTCCCGATTGGCAGCCGACTACAGCGRCAAATTGGAACCCGGCGAGGAAGACGAAGAGTCCGACGTGGGYGTCGCAGGTCGTATCATGACTCGTCGAGTCTTCGGAAAATTGGCCTTTTTCTCACTGCAAGATGAGACRGGAATCATTCAATTACAGTTTGACAAGAAACGACTGGGTGATACATTCAAGGTATGTAATAAAAAATTGAATCGGAACAAATTCAAGGTTTTCGTTGTCAAAAWGTGTCTTTTTGCTAGCATCGTCGCTTTCTCAAATGAAGACAATGTTCTTGCTTTTATTTTTCATTTTGAAATCTTGAAAATCGCCTCTAGGGCATCAAAAATTGGACGGACGGTGGAGACATTATTGGTGTACGAGGTTCGGTGAGACGAACCGATAAGGGTGAACTGACAGTTTATGCTACTGAATGGAAAATGCTGACTAAGTCAGTTTTGCCTCTGCCTGATAAGTGGGCAGGACTCAAAGATGTCACAAAACGTTATCGGCAGCGTCACGTAGATTTGATTGTAAATCCTGATGTACGAGATACCTTCCGCAAACGTGCAAAAATCACATCGATGATGCGGCGGCTGTTGGACGAAGATGGATTTTTGGAAATCGAGACTCCCGTTATGCACTCGCAGAGTGGAGGAGCGGAAGCTAAACCATTTGAAACCTACCACAATTCATTGGATATGGATTTAACTCTTCGAATTGCAACAGAATTGCATCTGAAACGTCTCATTATTGGGGGATTCGATAGGGTATACGAATTGGGACGTATTTTCCGCAACGAAGGACTGTCTACGCGACACAATCCTGAGTTCACATCGATCGAGCTTTATCAAGCATATGCAGACTATGACGACATGATGGAACTCACCGAAAACTTAGTGTGCAGTGAGTAATATGTTCTTGCAAATTTTTTTCGTAGCGTCCTTCGGTGTTTCGTTTTGTTCCAYTGACTTCCTTTCTTACCAAATTTGTTCTGCCACCTCCATTTACAGCAATCGCTGAAGAGGTTTGTGGCGGTTTGGTAATTCCTTATGGAGAGCATACCGTAAGTCTTGAAAAACCTTGGCGGCGTGTCACCATGCATGACATTGTCAAGGAGGAGATCCCGGACTTCGATTTCGCGGCTCTTGACCTCGACGATCCGGAATCACTTGTGAAGGCCAAGGCTGCCGCTGCCTCGGCTAATGTTCCGGGAGTTGAGGATCTCAACTCGGTGGGCGACGTCTTGAACACATGCTTTGAAGAACTTTGTGAGCCAAAATTGATTCAGCCAACATTCGTGATCGATTATCCCGTGGAGGTAAGCCCTCTGTCAAAACCTCATCGCAGCAAACCAGGATTGGTCGAACGCTTCGAACTGTTCGCTGTTGGAAGGGAGCATGCGAACTCGTTTAGTGAATTGACTGATCCAGTGGATCAGCGTGAACGATTTGAAGCTCAAGCCGCAAAGAAGGCTGCTGGAGACGATGAGGCATGTGACRTCGATGAAGAATTCTTGACGGCTCTTGAACAGGGCATGCCTCCCACTGGTGGATTGGGTATTGGTATCGATCGTCTTGTTATGCTCTTAACAAATTCTCCGTCAATCCGTGATGTTATTGCCTTTCCTCTACTAAGGAAGGAAGATGGCAATTAACTTAAATGCAGAAACCATAATTTGTGATAGTTAAACGAACAAATTGTATTTTTGACCCAACCATTTCGCATATATCCCAAAGTTGCTGAACAGTTGAAGACATTCTTACTTGAGATTTCCCCTTCGCTCGTTGTTAAGCAAAATCACAACTTTGCCATCTTGAYAATTTTCATCAAAACAAAGAAATGCCAATTAGCACTGTCTAGACAATTATTCTGACGCCCATTATTTGGCTTGCATACAACTATTACTAGTAGTAGTATTACTTGCATAAAGTATAGAAGTAGTTGTACTTCCGTTTGCCCTCTCTGATGATACAGTACCAATGATCGAAATTATCATTCCAAATTACACTCTGTATYTTCTACTGACTAATTGCTTCGTACGATACTACTATTTGTAAGCATACTTCACTGTGTAACCCACTGTCCTGCTTTCTTCCGCGAAAACGATAGCCACGATCCTGCCRGTGGGGGGCTGAAGTATGAGCATCGTTCATGCGTCGTAGAAAACTAGAAGTAGATTTCCTGCGACGAGGTGCGCGGAAAGGCTCAACATTCAACGAGGAGCAAAATCGAAGGAATTTCTGAGTGGCAAGAATAGCCAGCAGAAAAATAATGAGAAACAGTCCGATTGATGACACACAAAATACTGAACGAATCGTAATCCTAGAAGTACCACTGAATAMTACGACCGTGAGGCTAAGAGTTGGAGCACAGACTGAAATTTACTGCAAGAGAAGTAAAACAAGGCCGGGTGGAGCCCACTTTCATGACAAAGGGATAAATTGAAGCAACGAATTTCGGTAGATAAGGATACCAGTTCTTGGCTKTAGGTGTCCATTTTTCCTGAAGACGCATTTTTCACGTGTTTAAGTTCATTATATGCGTCGTCGCGAGCAGCCGAATTGTTGCAGCCTTCACAACGATTGTTCGATTTGGTTCAGAATAAGATGGAGAAAGCCGACCCCGAAGATTTGTCGGTAGAGCTGACGACCTTCAACGAGGAAGAATCACCGTTGTCGATTGCGGAGGCAGAAACCCATCGCCAACAAGARCAGCAACTAATGCAACAGCAACTAAATTCTACCATCTCCACTTCGATGCCCCCGCTGCAGCCTACATCACTAACTGCTGGGGACAAAACAAGCAGCAACGGGTTTTTAGAAGAAACACTRAAAGAAATACGCCAACTGCCAAAAGAAATACGGAACATTCTCGCAGGAGGTCTTGCAGGAATGATAGCSAAGAGTTTCGTTGCTCCATTTGATCGGATAAAAATATTATATCAGGTTTCTTCRGCCGAATTCCACATAAAATATGTTCCTGGCATTGCCAAACGAATCATCCAGACGGAAGGACTTTCCGCTTTGTGGAAAGGAAATACCGCTACATTGATTAGAGTCTTTCCGTACTCTGGCATTCAGTTTATGGTATTCGACCGTTGCAAAACGTATCTTTTGAAGGAACAAGAATTGAACTACCGTCGTGAAAAAGCTCTCCATCCCGACACACCAAAACCGATCTGGGGCTTATCGCCTCTAGAAAGTTTGTGTGCAGGCATGGCGGCCGGTGCGGTCAGTGTCGTTGCKACCTATCCGTTGGATCTAACCCGTTCGCAACTTGCTGTTTTGAAGACGAAAAAGGGGCGATCCTCCTCCAATGTTGGATTTGGAGCTGCTTTGCTCAGCAATTATAGGGATCGAGGCGCGGTCGGTCTTTTTCGGGGTATCACTCCAACGCTAATGGGGATTTTGCCGTATTCTGGATTAGCCTTTTCCTTCAACGAGCAAGCGAAACGAAAGGTACGTGGAATCTAGTGGATTTGGTTCTTCCAATTTTCTGATACAGTGCCTTTTCAGACTCTTTGTCATYGTGGGAAAAATGATGGCTCGCATCGACAAGCTATTGGCCCAAAAATCTTCCCATCTGAACAAGCACCATTTTTTGACATTTTGTTGTTGATTTTGTTCTTTTTTAGATTCAAAATATGACTGGTCGAGATTTGACAACTATCGAGCGAATGCAATGTGGAGCATTGTCGGGATTATTTGCACAAACCGTGACGTATCCACTCGAGGTCACAAGGCGGCGAATGCAAACCATTGGTATCGTTCCAACCAGTGGAAAGGATGCCGCGGTGGATGTGGTCGGGAAGGGTCCYAGTCACAATCCAGTTGCAGCGACGGTAATTCKAGAAGTTGTGCCGGATCGTCCTCCTTCCATGTCGAGCATCGTAAAGGAACTATATCAAGAACAGGGAGTTCGTGGGTTTTTCAAAGGAGTTACTCTAAACTGGTTCAAGGGACCAATTGCCTTTTCAATAAGCTTCACATGCTTTGATACGATCCAAAACTCTCTTGCAACGGAAGCGGAGCGACGATTTCTGTTTCCCAGGCGGAAGTCGAGAGTGTAGTTTGTAGTAACGAACATTGCTATAATTGAATGAAGATAGTTTTTCAAACTTTGCAACCCATGATATCTTCAGCAACTAGCATAAATAGATGAATTCTCGGTAGGGTTGATTTTTTTGACTGCAAAGTACGCATAGAAATGACACCATACTTCTACAGTAATTAAAGTTGRCGGGTTAAATTGTTTATTGTGATTCTTCTCGGATTTATGATTGCTACGAATATTCAGTGCAAAACCAATGGATATCGGACTACTGATGTATGGGATTTGATTCATTGTACGTAAACACAAATCTGCACTCAAAGTAGTGAAGAATCATGAATTATTCCGCAATGTACCATAAGCATCCTCTACATACATTTCTTTTTGAAGWATGCGCCTGACTTTGTTATAGCTCTCCCCTTGTACGTTTGATGCGGGCTTTCGTCATCTCATTGAGTAATTCTTCACGGTCCATTATCCTTCTAGAGTGTCTCTCGTCAAAYACTCGACTCAACTCCTCCAATTTGTTTTCAAATGCCTTCTTCTTCCGATTAAATCGATTGTACTCGTTTTCTGTCAGAAGYCTCTCGCCGCTTTCATGGAGATCTAGTTGCCTAGCGATCTCTTGGAGACGAGAAGAGAATATATCGTGGTGTTCTTCTCGCCTAGACAGGATCTCTTCGTGTGTCGAAGGAATGTGACCAGTCACCTCATCGCGTCGATGAACCCGAGTGTCTGCAACTGCAAGATAATCGAAGGATAGAAGCAACACGAGACCKAGATAGATATAAGAAGTTGGAGGAGGTAACGCACGGCGTGGCATCCTTATCGTCTCTTGTCCGCCTGTCTGCCTTAACTTTCTGTTTTGGCTTGTGTMGTCGTTGTGTCTTCTTGTGCTTTGGTAAGCAAGAAAATAAATTAATTTATGCTTCTACCGTATCAGAAAGAATATTGAATAATACTGASAATTGACAAGTGACAACGACACTGGTACCCAATGTGTTTTGCACKTCACGTTTTGAATCTGAGTCTGAGTTCGAGTACCTTACGATCCTACTCGTATATTTACTGTCTGTCGAAGAGATGGCGCCGATTCGATATTCCACATTTTAATTACAGTAAAACTAGCACGAGTGCCAAGCAATTGGAACTAGTTTTACAGTAATTAGTTAGGTCGTGAATCTGCCTAATTGTGAATGACTTCAGACGGGGCATAATATTCAAAATTGTGTCTCGTTACGACAGCATTATCATCATCAATGTAGTTTCGAATGCCTGTAATCCAACACTATTATTATTATGACCACAATCCTGATGACCCAGAGCGTCTTTTGTCTTTTCAGTCTTTTCAGCTTGGGAAARAGTCGTTGCAAGAAAATAATTGTCATGTTCAGTAGTGAAGAGTTGAGAGAACAAGACGTTTCTACGGTGGTGGTAAAGTTGTGAAGTACTTGTACGAAGTACTGTACTTCGTACTTCCTACAACGTACAGTACTCTTTTAGAAGTAAATTTTTAATGCTGTAATGTTAAGAAAGATAATTACTAGTATTAACTGTAACACTGCGGACTACCGAAGAAAAAATTTAGGGACATCTAATAGATGCACCCTCCGCACTTGTAACAAAAAACTCGTATTGATGCAACAAGAATTCGGATAAAGCATACAGACACGGTCAGAAAATTGGTTCGATACTTTGGAATTACTAAGTGAATTTCTTGCCAAAACTTCACTATGGTAATAATTGTCCCCCGTCATTTATGATATTCGTWAAAAATTGGGATTGATTTGTTGTCTAGTATATACATATATGTATATAGAATTCACAATTCATCATAGGAAGCTTGTAGCTGTGTAGTCAAGAACTGAAGAACGTATTTTATTCTTTATGGACATAGTATTTTTTTAAAACCTTTTGGATGTGGCGTTGTTCTTGCTGTATGGTGTAGATGGACGAGAGAATATCATTCAAATCTTCGCTGTCCATGATGACACGGGTCGAATTGCGCGAGGAAGATTCCGGTTCCGAATAGATTGGTTGGTATTGATCTCGCAGACGTCGACGGTCCCCTCTGTCCTTGCACTCTCGCTCGAAGTTCTCATTCGAATCGTTGCCATTTTCATCGTCAGAACCGCTTGCATTACTCTCTCGGAACAAAGACTGCAAACCATGGACTTGTTTCAATTCCTTTGACCAAATTTCGCTGAATACACTCACTGGAAATGCCACGACCAAGACCCCAGTTAGCATAGCAACCGTGCCAACCCACATCCCTGCCACACTAGTTGGATAGTAATCTAAGGCAACCAACGAGAGCATGAATGCGAAAACGATCGTGAGCACGGAGTGACTTAGGTRRATGGAAATYTCATKTTTTCTTACCTCCGTACCCTACTGTGGTTGCCGTGACGACAAACCACCAAAAGGCAGTTGGGATTGATGTAAAAGGTGATATTTCTTCGGTTTCCCCATCGATCCTCATTCGTATGTATTGAAAGTTACCCGTAGGTTCCCAATACTTATTAGACGAGTTTATTAACGATTGAAAAGAAACGGATAGCGTCATAGACCAATGACCGTGAACAAAAGAAAAATTGAAAATAAAACGCTAGGGAACGAAAAGAATACAAACGAATGATAATATGTAGGCCAACCAAAGAGAAGAGCTCACCTTCCACTCCCCTTGTTCCAACCTGTGAAGTATTTGTTCGCGGTGAGAGTCCATTAACTGAAATTGAGAGACACTGTTTTTTCCATTCATAAATMTTCGCCATCCACTTACCAATACATGAGGCTACCAAATATGGTTGCACCGAAAAACACGATGACTATCAACAGCTTCAAAAATTCCATGCTTTTCGACAAGACAGTGGTTAGACTAACAAACATGGAATTGTAGGATCCCAATCGAAGCAATTGAAAGACTCGAAAAAGTCTCAGCAGCCGCAAACTTATGAGCCCAGGTACATGTAGACGTTCCATAAAATGCGGCCAGATGGCGAGGGCATCAATCAGAGTTGCGGGGGATGCTAAGTACTTCAACCAATCCCCAAAGTTGCCGASAACATTTTCTTTTGGATGCGCCGGTACATAGCTTAGCACTCGCAAAGTCCATTCGACGGCAAAGAACTGCAGTATGCGGTTTAAGATCCGTTCGAGATACATTGATGGGCGTGGAGGACACTCGCACTCCACCAAATAGTTGTCGTTGGATCCATCGTTGTATTCTGAGATTTCGTCGTCATTGTAGTAATTTGTGTCGAACGTTGCACTACCGCAAAAGTGACACTTTGTAGGCGTGTACTGAAAAAACGACATCGTTTGCATAATCATGATCATGCTCGATAGAGCAATCGCAAAAATCAAACARAAGAAGAAGAATGCGGAAAACAAAGAACTCGACGGCTCCGTCAAGAATAAGAACACCCGTCGTCGGAACACTCGATTGTGACGACTTCCCTCGGAATATGATGATGAATTCGGGTTAAAAGYAACATTGTTGGTTTTCCTTYTGTTTTCACCACTATCATCGTTGTCCTCTTCTTCCACATTGCTTGGAAACAAGTCTAGATGAATATGCTGAAAGAATCCCTCCTCACCCGTCAGACTGAACCCGCTTCTCGACGGTGCAAGCAGACGACGCTGCTGATCCAGATGTCCATAAACATCATCCACATCAGTATTGCTGTAAAGATTGTATGGATCGGTCCGTCGGTTGGTTCTTGTTCTTTCGTTAATTATTGTCATTTCTCTCTCTTTCCGTTCGCAATTCAATATATTTCACTGCGCAACTTTCTGCAATTATGAGAACGATTGTAGACTGGTTTCGAATTCACATACATGCAGTATGCAGATCTGCTACTGCATGAGGTGAAGCCTATAATGATCCTCTTTCTCTCTCTCTCTCTCTCTCTATGGGTTGCCACTATTCCTAATGTGGAACACCAATCATCTTTGATAGATGTTTACTTTGAAATAAAAGTTTCTGTTGCATTTTCTGTTGTTGCGTCGGAGTCAAWGAGAACATTTCAGTATTTTTGTACGGTAAAATAWTACGTTCGTACTGGTGGTACCAAAAGATACMACAAGACACAAGAAAGGATCCAATGGTTTGAAGTGTGAAGAAGATTTTTGAGATTATTGATGACAACTCATTCGACTCGAACATGAGGAGTCTGAATGGTACGAGTACTCGTACCCGAAGGATTCGTACCCTACTACCGAACGAGGGAGCCGGGTATTCAGACAACCCACAAGACACAGTTTGTATTTTATGTTACTGTAAGCTGTCACTCACTATCTACTYGTGATTTACGTGGTATTTCATTCACTTACAGTGTACTGGTACTGGTACTACCTCCGTCCCACAATAATAGGACACTTTTATTCAGTCATGAAGATTTARTATAGTCAGTTTGTCTGACTTTCTTGCAGTAGCTACTTCCAGAGGGCTCTTTTTGGCATAGAAATGGGTTCTACTGGTCCGTTGTAGATGGGACCGGTTTATTTTGAAAGCCCATATTAAGAGCTTTATCAGAAKATACTTATCGTACTCATTGAGAATGTTCTTGTGCAGTCTTAGTTGGTCARAAGAGAACCAAAATATTGCTCGGGCAGTTATTGGGGGCACGTGCTTTTTTCGTGTGTTTTTTACTGTACTTCGTAAGAGCATCAGTAGAAACTACGAGTAACGATAAGTACGTCTACCGGTAGAAAGAACAGAGTTCAAATTTCAAGTCGAGAGATACTACTTTTTGAATTTCGCATCATAATCATACCGTACAGAATCTGTACCGGTACCGGTACGTACCGGTACTAGTACGGGTGGCAAAACGGTTGATGCGAAGTCATTCGTCTATTTGCGAACCTCACAAAGATGCTCCGTAATGTGTTGGAGTGCTCGCATCATACWAAGTCATAGAAGTATTCAGAAGACCTCGAAACAATTGTAGCGGAACACCACTAAGATCAAACATAAATCGGGATCTCAAGCWTTTCCCACTAAAAATATTATCGTAGAAATGGTTCGGATCTACCKTGTGTCGTTCTTCTTGCATGCCATTGCCGTATGCAGCGTGTCGCTGATGTTTAGCGGGCTGTCGATGGCCATCGAGGATGAAATCCGATTGCGCAGGAACAATCCAGAGACATCCTTCGGAGATGTCACCAGAGAACAAATATTAGAAACACGAAATCGTCGAAAGAGACAACTCAAAGTCATGCTGGTAGATGCAAGAAAGAAGCTTGCCGATCATTCGGCGGGCGAGAAACCATTGACAGAGGAAGCGAAAGCTATACTCGTAAACTCCATCGACGTTTATCGACGAAAAATCGAATCYATGGAGGKTGAATTGGAAGAATGGGTAAGTTTGATACGACACGATGCGATTCAATGCGAGTACAAACGCATTTTCATTAGCAAAGCAATCGCAACGGATTCGTTGCTTAACTTGCCCTTGTTGCTGCTGTGTTCGTTTCGTTTCGGACTCGTAGGAAATTGAACGACTCATTGCCAGGGAAACTGAAGCCGCAAATCGACGTAAGAAGCGGAGTCGGGATTCTCGCAAGAGTCGGGATTCTCGCAAATCCAGACGTGAACTCTAAGTTGCAGTACATGAAAATGGGAAGAAAAGAGCCATGAAACAGTGTCGCTGCACTGATGTTTTTAGTTATTACTTATTGGTTTGACGGTATTTTGTCCTAACAAATGAGAGATRGAACTAAAGGCCGTCGCGACCTCAAACAAGGATGCAATTTACGAATAAGTCATCGAAGATGCCGCTCTCATGGCTCTCTCAATACTGAAGAGCAAATGAATATGCATACATTTTTGTTATGCAGAGATACTTATTTCGTTTTTCAGTCACRCCAAACGTCACAAACAATGATACTGCTTATGACTGAGTAATTCGACTTTTTCAAAACGAATGGACATCATTTTACTGGCGCGTTAAAAATGATTTGCATCGAAGGTTGAATCCGGAATGTTCTCAGTAGCTACATCAATTTTTAATTACRTTAGATGCTCTATTGAGGCACTGAATCAACCATTCGCACTACACCCTTTTTCGTGGGCGAATTCTCTAAAATCAGAAGTTGAATTCCATCTTTCCAAGTTTGTTGAGATTAATTTAGATTTGTTTGGCAACACATAAAGTTTCATTTGAAAGACGATTGTTACTTCCACTCCTGGACGCAATTTTTTTTATGTCTACAAGTCTACCTTTATGCTGTCACGGTATTTTTGACTTCTGACTTCCGAGCGCTTCAATGCCCGATCAATGTCACTTTCGGAAATGCGCTCTCCGATTGACTCCAATTTTTCCTTGTACAATTTGGCTTGTTTCTTGAAAGACTCGTATTCCTCATCTTTCAACAAGACTAATCCTCTCTCGTGGTGTTCAACCTTCTGAMTTGCTTTCTCATGAAGCTCCTGTAGGTGCTTCTTTCGACGTTCGTATTGCGAAATCACTTGTTGTCTCTATGATACGGAAATTTCCAAACGCATTTCAGATATGCAACGACTGGAATGAGGTTCATGGCACACGAAGAAACATTGATATATTGCCAAATACAGGTCTCGCTTCCACAAAGTACGGCATGCAAAAAAATAGCAGGTCGATACGTACCTTCGAATCTGRCCGGAAATCCGTTTGGGTCTGGCCATGAGCCACTCCGATCAAGGCGCAAARCGCAACAACAACGACGGCTAGGGATACTTTAAACATTTTTTCGTAGTCAATCGAAACAACAAGAGAAAATGAATTTTGGACACGTGATATTCGTGCGTACAGAACGCACCATGAGAAGTACTGTACTTTACGAGTTTTAGTACAGAGCTGCAAAAAAAGTCGGGAAAATGGACAGCTTCAGAGTAATCATGCCAATGTAAGAGGGATCTGAAGCAGGTTGAGATTGAGATTGAAAGTAGTACATAGCAGTGAGAATTTCAAAGGTGAAGCAGCCCAAATTGCAAGGGAAGCAGCAAGAAATGGTGCCCTGCTACTAGTACTAGTAGTACTACTAGGAGTAGTACTATAAGAAGGCAGCAAATCTAAAGGCTGATGGTGATACTGTACAATGTACTAGATACCTGCAGTTGAACTTGGATGATTTCAATCCTTCATAAACAAGGACCAAGAAAATGTGCTCTCTCTGCAAGGAAGATTGAGATAGCTTTTTTTCAACAAGCAATGTCATGTCTTCTTTGGTTAGTACTCACAGTTCTTTTTCAGACGATATTACRCACCGTCAACCAACCAAACAACACAACTGCTCCAAATGTTGTTGGTTGGTACTAGTATGCCTTCTTGAGGGCAGACCAACAATACAAAAAGACCAGTATGCTCTGTTCAAAAGACTGTACAAAGTGGTATGTGACGATGGCGTTATTATTGTCACCAGTACTAATTCAAAGATACTACTACGTTCGGACGTAGATGCTGACACCTAGTAGTGAATCTTGACAAGAGTGGATTGACATTACTAGTAGTAATAGTAGTAGACAGTTGCTCTTATCTCACAGGAGATCTAGCACCCACAACATGCAGTCCTGCAAGCAAGAACATTGTCTGTGGGCAGGCTG